GTTTTCGGTTTTCCTATCTGGGTTTTTGATTTCAGCTTCTGGGTATCTCTTTTCATGGCGTCTTCTTCTTCTCTGGCATCTCCGTTGTGCACCTGGCTGGTGGCCGCCTGCATGTCCGTCGCGTGCGACAAGGACCCGTCACGGTCTGCAATGCTCCATTCCTTCTCCGCCTCCAAGAGACTCAGCCACTGCGCTCGTAGAAAGAAGATTCTCGCTCAATGCGGGAGTCAATTCAGCAACTGGAGCTGCAACCGTAACGGAGGAGGCTTGATTTCTTCTTTTTGTGGATCCAGCATTCAAGGATTGATGAGCTCTTGCTTGGCGTTTGAGCCCTGCAATGAGTTCTATAACTCCAAAGGGGTTTCTTCCCTCGGGTTTTTTGGTGACAATGGTGGCTTATATTCTCTATTTGGATCCAAGAACGTTGCTGTGAAACGCAAGCAGAGGAGACTGAATCGAGCTGCTTTTTCCGGTAATTTTCTTTCTTTTCTGATGAGTTCTCTTCATGGTTGGAGGCTTAGAGCTTGATATGATAGTAATTTCTCTCCCTGCTGGAAGATTTTTCCCCTTCCCTGATGGGAGCATTGTTTGCTTTATATCTGCCCTTCTTTGGATTGCTTAAAACGAAGTATGAAGATGGAAACAAGAAAATGAACTAATTTATGAATATGAGCTTTCAATTATTTAGGACTTGAAGGCTGTTTTGCGAACCAAAAGCGTAAACTTGTATTTTAAAAGAAGCTACTTTTTTAGCAGAAAAATTGTTTGCAGTAACATAGGCTATCATAATGTGTCATTTCAATAATTTTCAAAGTCTATGATTCAATAAAAAATTTTAATTGCATAATAACATGGTATTGTTTCTATATACATATTATGTTCACTTAAATAACCGGCAAGTTCAATTAAAATGTGGTGATACAGTCAGAAAATTTATTCTCGCTTTGCAAAGTATTGGGAAGCCATGACTCTTCCTCTGTAGGTAATCAATACCTTGTGTGAAAGGTTTCAGGTGGATTGTTGGCATTCACATGGTTTTATTACAGTTGCTAATTTGCAATCTGCTGTCAATTTGTTTAAAATCTTAGCAGAAGCCATGGCTGTAGCAGTGGAACCTGCAAAGGAAATCACTACAAAGAAAAAACCTCCCATGAAGCAAAGACGAGTAGTCGTTACAGGGATGGGTGTTGAGACTCCACTTGGACATGATCCTGATGTCTTCTATAATAATTTGCTTAACGGTGTCAGTGGTATAAGTGAAATTGAGACTTTTGACTGCACCCAGTATCCAACGGTAAATGACATTCAAGGTCTTTCATCTGCTATTTTTTGCTCTAGATTCTGTTATTAGCAAGCTTTCTTTACCCCATCCAGAGAATTGCTGGAGAGATCAAATCTTTCTCGACTGATGGCTGGGTTGCACCAAAACTTTCTAAGCGGATGGATAAATTTATGCTTTACATGCTGACTGCTGGTAAGAAAGCCTTGGCAGATGGTGGGATTACTGAAGATGTAATGAAAGAGTTAGATAAATATAAATGTGGAGTTTTGATTGGCTCAGCAATGGGTGGCATGAAGGTAACAAATTTCCACTCTTTAGTTAATTTGCTGTCTTTTATGAAAATGAGGAACTTTGAGAACTAAGAAAGATGAGAAATCTAATGAACTTCTACATGTTAACATCCAATATGATGCATTGGAGCATGGATAGACATGATCAGGACATTGCTTGGTTTTGGCTCTATTGAATTGTTATACCTGAGCTGGAAGTACCAATGTTAATTGTTGTTAACTGATAACAGATGAAATTAGTTTTTTTTTTTTTTCTCCCCTTAGCTCAATGTTTCTATCAAGCCTAAATAATGGAAAATTTTTTCACTGAGAATTGAAACTAGAAATGCATGTGAGAACCAAACAATTTGCTGATTGGATAAATGAGGAAACTGATTCGGCTAGGTACTTATTTTCTGTTGACTTTTTGGGTGATTTGTGAATTAAAACAGGTTTTCAACGATGCTATTGAAGCTTTGAGGATATCTTATAAGAAAATGAATCCTTTCTGTGTTCCATTTGCTACTACAAATATGGGCTCTGCTATGCTTGCAATGGATTTGGTCAGTTTAAATTTAAAATTGGTGCCATGTTGAGATACACCCTGATGGATGTTGGAATTTGGACTTGAGCTTTTAACTATTGATTTCCTCAGGGATGGATGGGTCCAAACTATTCAATTTCCACTGCTTGTGCCACTAGCAACTTTTGCATATTGAGCGCAGCAAACCATATTATTAGAGGAGAAGCTGTAAGTTTTAGTGAAAAGGCAAACCAAACACATGGTACAACTTGAATGCACTCCCTTTTGAAATTTAAATAAATTTTGCAGGATGTGATGCTTTGTGGGGGATCTGATGCAGCAATCATACCAATTGGTATTCCATTTTCTCTCTGCTATTTTACACCACATCATAATCTTGCAACCTGGCTGTGCATGATATTGTCAAATTATATAATTTAATTCTTGGTGCAGGCTTGGGAGGATTCGTTGCATGCAGAGCACTTTCACAGAGGAATAATGACCCTACCAAAGCTTCCCGCCCTTGGGATATGGTATTTTTCAATAACTCAGCTTTCAGGCCTGCTTTTATATCTCAAAACTCTATAGACAAGGAGAGTAAAAGGAACAATGGCCTAATGAAGCTAGTTTGGAGGAAAACTAATGATAATTCTATAATTGGAAAAGCAACCTTACCATTTTGTCATAATAAAGTAGAACTTTCCATTTTTTTCAAGTCTTGTAACCATAGGTCACAACAGCTAGTAACTTTTCAATCTGAACTTGTTACTTTTGACAAAGTAATTCTATCCATTTGTCTGTATTTACTCTTTAAAGGAAGTTATTCAAAACAAAGCTTGATTTTTTGCTTCATTGGCCTGCTTTTGTGTCTTTACTGGAAAAAAAATTTTATGTTTATTGAACAGAATCGTGATGGATTTGTCATGGGGGAAGGAGCTGGAGTTTTGCTTTTAGAGGAATTGGAGCATGCCAAGGTACCATTGTATTCAATAAAGTCCTGTTCTAAGACATTTTTGTTGTTTGTCTTATGCCTCTAGCATGCTTACTCATTATATTCAGTTTATTATTTGCTCATACCAATAGCATCTTCAGTATATTTTCAATTTTTTTAAAAGTTCATTTTCACCATGCAGAAAAGAGGTGCAACTATTTATGCTGAATTTCTAGGTGGTAGCTTTGCTTGCGATGCTTATCACATGACTGAGCCACGTCCTGATGGTAAGTTCCTAGTCTTAAATACTAACAAAATTCTTTTTAACTTTTTTATACATTTTATTTCTTTTTCTGGTAATAAATGTCTTGATGATGGTAGAGACACTGTCATTCTAAAGCTCATGCAAGTGCAAGTAGTGATGAAGGATTTATCTTCTACTATCATGTTACATGAGCAAAACGTTCAGCCCTCATTTTTGAGGAAAGGTTTCAGCCTGAACAAATTGGGCATCTTATCTTTGTCCTGAACCAGCATGTAATATGGCTTGGCAAAAATAAGGCATATAAGTATAGAACTCATCGGTTTTTTATTTTATTGACTTTTTCTCTGCATTATGCTATTATTCAATAAAACATTCTAGTTAAATCTAAACCATCTAATAAGTTTGGTCACCATCAATGGTATCGTTAAGAGGAAGTGCTTGTTTCTTTATTTTGACCATGCAATGTTTTCTAGAATGCAAACAATCAGCAACTAGTACTCTATCTAAACTTTAAATTCTGTATCATGCTTATAGCTTAAGTAAACCATTTGGTGCAAGCAAAATAGATAAGATATCATTAAGTTATATACATATATATATATATATATATATA